TCTCTCTCCTATCTCCTCTCTCTCTCTCTCTCTCTCTCTCTCTCTCTCTCTCTCTCTCTCTCTCCACCTGAATCATTCTCTTGATGATTCAGCTGCTCTAAAGTAGTCCAAGCAAACAGATTTTGAAACTGGTCTTGAAATGTTTCTTTACAGTGTATTTTTATTTCTGTCAAGACTAGTGTTAAACTCATATAGGCTACTAGTAAACACATTTAAGTCAAATCTAGAGAAGTGAGTGCCGTGTGTTTCCCGGCAGTGTTGATTATACACACCCGAGAGTTAGATACTTCAGCAGTCTTAAATCATGAGAACACATTTAGCAGCATAGCATAGCCACTTTTATTACAATTATTGAATATTCTTGCCACTCCACCCATCACTTTGATTATCATCAGCATAATCATTTCAGAGCAGCTCCATCGGTTGGCTGTGAAGATGTCACATGATGTCTGATCAAACAGAGCTTCTCCTCCAAACCTTTAAGAGTCTTGGAGATGAGCAAGATCAAACAGAGAAATGACACATTTATTCAGACTACCTATTTTTTGCCTCATAAATTCATTGTGAACATTATATATGCAGTAATCTGTTCTGAGCCCATGTAAGGTTTGTTTTAACAACAACTGCTGATTCTCCTTTTCAACAGCATGAACAGCTGTGCCTTGTGTTGAGAGGGTTACTGTAATGTAATATGTTACAATATACCTTTAAACATATGTAATCAGTACCCTAATTACAGTATCAACATATACAAGTAATGTAACCTGATTACTTTACGTTTGTTTTGGATTACCTAATATCAATGCAATTCAAATAAATACAAGAGAAAATAAATATCAATAATATGTTTCTCACTTAAGTGTATTATGTTAGACGACAGAACAATGTGACCTTAGAAAAGAAGAAACCAGGATATTTAGGATCAGAAAGGATTTTATTGAAAGGAAAAGCTGCCTTTCATGAAGCATATTCAGGCAGTATAGACCAACAGTGAGAACATACTACAGTTTAAAAAAGCAGGAATAATATCTGAGTTGACAGGAAATGCTCCGTTTGAGTTTAATACACACAGTTAAGCTCACACACACTATTTTAGGATCATATATGTTCACCTACTGAATTAAAAACAGAACAAATGAACCAAAGAAAGTGAAAACCATAAAGCAGATTCAGGCAGTAGAAGTATAGATTCACAGTTAAAGTATAAGCCTACAGAACAGTACAGTTTACAGAGAAGAGACAACATCTGATCCTTTACTACAAACACTATATGCTCTTTTTAGTTAACTTCACTTGTAGCCTAGGTCTTATGTCTGAACGAATACATTTCATTTGGGCGCCAGACAGAGGAATATTTAATATAGCCAGCTGTCAAAAAATGATATGCTTAAACACAAAGGGATAGCCCGGTGACCTAGCTACTGAAGTTTACAAAGGACAAATAATAATCAACCAATTCACTTTCAACATAAAATGTCTGTATTTTTTAACCCCAAATAATAATCGGTATTAAACAAACAACTCATGTCACAGACCATTTACCAGAAAAACTTAAATCCAATAGATACATCAACACAAACAAATAAGTCAAATTAACTCACAAAACATCAATCACTATATGGATTAAGAGCACCATAGCATGTGCCTCGTAAAATATTGTTCTTCAGTTTAACACATCCTGCTAGTAATCCCCTTTTTTTACAAATGTAACAGTTATCTAATTCCCTTTTTTAAATTTAACTGTAAGGGATTAAAATGACCTTTATTTTGTATCCTGATTACGTAATCCCGTTACATGACAATTTTTCAAGACAATATAAAAGTAGGATATTATTGACATAAAGGATATGTACCTAATCTGCTGATACTGTATCTGATGTGTCCTGTTTTAACCCATATTCCCAGTGTAGTGATTTGTGTTCCTGTCTAATCCCATGGTGCTTTATTTGTTTTGTTTGTTGGTCATAGGAGTGGCTGTTACAGCCAGTGACACCATGTTTCAAGCATGGTGAAGCCTGAAATGTGGAGTACCCCAAAGTTCTTGTTAGAGATGTATAGTAGGGTCCCCAGCACATAGAAACTGCTCAATGCTAAATTGTCTTAAATTGTGCTAATTAGCATGAGTGGTATAAGGGGAAAAGTTACGGCTACTCCGCTGAGGGATATCACCAGTTCAAAAAAGGAAACATACTTTTTCAGCAACAATGCCCTCAGTCCGGCACTTCAACACCCATCATGTGTACAGATTGAAGCTTCCATGTCAACAACATGACCTTTCTGTCTGTGTGTGTGTGTGTGTGTGTGTGTGTGTGTGTGTGTGTGTGTGTGTGTGTGTGTGTGTGTGTGTGTGTGTGTGTGTGTGTGTGTGTGTGTGTGTGTGTGTGTGTGTGTGGTGTGTAGGTGTGTGTCAGCTAGTGAACAAGATGGATGAAGCTTCAGGCAGTGTGAAGGCCTTCAACAGGAACGATGAGCAGTTCCTGGAGGCCTTCGCCATCTTCTGTGGTCTAGGAATTCAGAACACACAGATGTACGAGACAGTGGAGAGAGCCAGGGCCAAGCAGCAGGTCACTCTGGATGGTCAGACACACACACACACACACACACACACACACACACACACACACACACACACACACCACACACACACACACACACACACACACACACAACACACACCACACCACACACACACACACACACACACACACACACACACACACACACACACACACACACACACACACACACACACACACACACAATTATGTCCTTTAAACAGTGATTTGAAGGCCTTTTGAAAAGTGCGATCATTTTGTAGATTAAGTAAGATTGATTTCAGTAGAGTACAGACCAGGGGCCTCATTTATAAAGCTTTGCGTAGGATTCACGTGGGAAGGTTGCTTACGTAGGACAAAGCAAATAAATACGCACAGACATTTTCCGTGGCCACGCACGTCCTACGCCCATATTTTCCAATAAATAGTCAAAGAAACGCCCCGTATTAATATTAATTTTCACTGACTGCATGAAGAAGATCGCAGGAAATGACGACAGAACAGCTAAAAAAGACATCTCACACCGTGTCAGATTTAGATTATTTTGGGGAGGTGGAGATAAATGGTAGACAATGGTACTCGCGTACCATGCAGTGAATGGATGATAGAATTACTAACAAAGAATGACTAACAAAGCACTTATATCCTAATAACTAAATAACTTGAAATGTTTTGGCTCTATGAAACCTGATGTACTTTTATGATTCTGTTTTCTTCAAGTTTGTCATCTTCTTGGTCGAATGCACTTACTGTAAGTCGCTTTGGATAAAAGCGTCAGCTAAATGCAATGTAATGTAATAAATCACATTGTTTGGTGGATGCAGTTTGAACCAGAGTAGCAACATGGAGGTCGGATCGTCACCAAAATAAATAAATAAGTGGTCTGAAAAAGGTTAATGACAAAATACACATAACCTTCCTCAGGCAGTGTGTCAGTGAGTTTGTGCCCCCCCACCCATGATGAGAGACTGTAAAAAAGTATCGGGGGATCCCTGCGGAGTGGAGTCACTTCTTGTTTATTCTTTTACTTGGTGGTTTGTGTTCCAGCTGATTGACAGCTGGAACACCCCCCCCCCCCCCCCCCCCCCCCTGCAGGAACTCTACCCACCACTTAAATGAAATCAAATTTATAAATGAGGCCCCAGACCAGTAAAAAAGTTGATTTTGTGATAATTTAGGGAGAGGCCGCTCAGTTTTCTGATCTATTAAACAAAGCCCAGTCTAGGGAATGCTGAAACACAACAATCCTTTTCTCTTGCTTTTAGAACTAAACATTTCAAAGATGGTATGTTTATTTTTAGAGCTAAACAAATAACTGTTTATAGTTTTTGTAGTTTTTTTTATCGGATTAGCTACATCATTGCTACCACAGGAAAAATAAGACCTGAAAAGATACAGCATAAGGATGGGATTTATTTTTATTTCTATAGCAAGAAAAACAGATCTTGGCCTCTGTACGTGATAAAAAAAAAACACATTACAGAGTGTGCTCTCAGTCTCAGTGGAGATGTCAGATGTCAGTGTCAGAGATGTCAGTGTCTGGTCTCACTCAGCTGCAGCTGACGCAGACAGGAAGAAGTACTCTTGTACTTAAGCCATCGTAGTCATTCTGCAGATTGGTCCATTTCAGAATAATATATATGATATGTTTTATAATGATTGATCATGAAAGTGTTCTCAAAGCTGGTAAAGGTGCAGCTAGTTTGAATGACTTTGTGTACTGCAGGGTAGCTGGTGGATTTACTCCAGGTGGAACTAAAGTCTGATTTAACACTTGATTAGATTTCACATCATTCATCCACATCTGTAAAGTAACTAAAGGTATTACATACATGTAGTGGAGTAAAAGTACACCATGTACCTCTGAATTGTAGTGGGGTAGAAGTACAAAGTAGCAACAAATGTAGATAATCATGCAGCTTAGGTACAGTACTTGAGTAGATGTACTTAGTTACTTTACACCATGGCTCAGTGCAAAGGTCCCTACACCTCTCCATCCTGAGGTCCTGTTCACAAATATCATATCTTACATTGACATCCATCAAAAGCTTGACTTGAGTGTAGAATACGGACAAACTGTGGCTCTATACCAGGGGTGCCCAACCTTTTTTGAACCGAGAGCTACTTTTAAAGTTGCCAGTCTGCCGAGATCTACCAGTCCAAATAGAGAGGCCATTACTGACAGCCTGCTACCAGGTAAATACACACTTCTACTTGTATAAAACTGACCTCTGTACGATGAATACTTCATAAAATACTGCAGATCCTTTATCTTACCTCTTTCTAATCTACACACATACAAGTATTTAACTGAAGTTACACAACAATGTTGTTGATACAGAGTTGGTGTTTATTCACACGTCACCTACTACAGTGGGTAATGTTTTCAAGAAACATTGAATAGTGCTGCCACATATGACACAGGAAAAAAGAAAAGACTCCGAACCCTTTCTTTGCCATTATATAAAAATAGTGTTGCTACAAAAGTATAAATTATGCTTACTAATAAGACAACTCAGATCTGAAGCTACACAGGAATATAATCAAATCCTTTTTTTGTTGCATTTTAGTAGAGTATAAAAAGAAATGCCTTTAAAATAGGATGCCAGCAACACTAGTTTCTTAACCTGAATTGATAATAGACTATAATCAATTTAAACAGAACAGATCTTAATGTTTGCATTCTTATACCATTTTGTACAATAATTATAATGAATAAGTTCAAACAAACTAAAACTTACAGCTGATTAATAACGGTATCTAACTTGAGTTTTTATTATATCAAAAACCTGTTGAAATGCTACTGTTATTTTTACTGTCCCCAAAAGCGCGTCGGCAGCCTCCAGGAATGCTTCTTTCACAGCTTCGCCGTCTTTGAAAGACTTCATGTGTTTCGCAAGAACGTGACTGACACGATAAGATGCTATGGTAGCAGCCTTGCTCTTGTTGTTGGGCCTGGTGAAAATTGACTGCTGTGCATTTAGCTGTCCTTTCAGGCCCCTCCCCTTTTGGAGCGTAGGGCAGAATTAGGAGGGAATTCCATCTCGTAGCGTTTGTGCACTGTTTTGAAATGCCGCTCCTAAATTACCCTTCTTCGATAAAGCCACGCTCGCATTGCAGATGAGACAGATGGACTTTGAATTGGAATAGATACAGAAATAATCATCCTCCCACTCGGAGTGAAAATTATATATTTTGGGCTCTTTTGCTTCTGCCATAATTGCGGTCTTGTGTGTGTGCGGACTGTCACTCCTGTTGACACGGACAACGTCAGCGAAATACTGCCCAATGCCCACCAGCCACGCCCCGACACATGGGGTCTCGCCGGCCAATCACAAAGCTTTGATGCGTTCAAGTGCATTATTCTGGACAGGAAGATTATGTTACAGGACATACAGGCCACACTCAGACTCTCAGATGGTTGGGTACTCTGCCCTGCTGTTCAGTGCATACGAATAAAGAACAGTTTGAGATGTATTAGTGTAGTTTAGAGTCGACCCTGGAGACCCCCCAACACAGCAGCGTTCAGCGGGGGGCTGTTAGTGATCCCACACTTGCAAGTAAAGCCCAATTATATCTAGTTGGTATAATTAATATCATTTATTTTAGCGCTTTTCTTTTTCGCCTGTAACAGTGAATACAAAATAAATTGTCGACTGCAGTGGCGATCAGGGTGGGTTTCGGACTGGTGTTCCCCAGCGCTCCCTAATAATGCATTCCACCTCCCTTAAACCAGGCTGCCAGTACCTAATGCTGAGAGTGGGGGGCGGCTCCTTGTAGTTATTTTTGTCTTTGATTGGCCAAGCCCCATACAGCAAGGCACCCGTTAACCCTCTTTCTATTGGGCAAATTCCAAAACATGTTGATGCTACATCAAATGATCAGATACTGATTGACCCCACAAAAGCCAAACCAAATGTAGATGGAGGTCAGGAGTTGGTTGTATATGCCGTGTTATATGGTGTTTTCTACAGAGAAGTTGATATATACTTTTTGTATGTGTGTGTGTTTCAGGTGTTGTCATATCACGCCTCTGCCGCAGAGGAAGAGACGCGGGAACTCCAGGTAACCGCGGTAAATTAACATTTTATTACGTTGACAAAACACTCCACATGAACTTTAAAACATCAGTGTGAGATGTAATGTGTTTAATGTATCCACATTCTAGCTTTGGTAGCCAATCATGCCTCCTGTATCGTGCTGTGATGAAGCAGCTGTTTAATACTGAGTGAGCGCTGTGGGGTTATGTTACATGCTTCTCATCTGAAGGATGAACACCCATATTACACTGTTATTACATCCATATTACACATTGATACACCCCAATTAAACGCTATTATAACCCATATTAAAGTTTAACTATACCCATGTAATATTATTTGTATATCCACATAACACTGTTATTAGACACACATTACACCAATGTAACACTGAGTTTACACTATTATTACACCGTAATTACACTGTTACTACATCCATATTACACTGTTATTACACGCCTAATATACCCATGTTACACTGTTATTTCACCCCTAATATACCCATGTTACACTGTTATTTCACCCCTAATATACCCATGTTACACTGTTATTTCACCCCTAATATACCCATGTTACACTGTTATTTCACCCCTAATATACCCATGTTACACTGTTATTTCACCTATATTACACTGTTATTAGACCCATATTACACCCATTTTACAAATGGACACATCCTTTCAAATTACTGTATTTTTATTGTTGTTGAACTTCTTAATCTTAATTTATTTCTTAGACTGTCATTTATGAACTCAAAATTTGATATATTGTTAAGTTCCGTCTTTCTTGTGATTTTCATGATTAGCTCACTTTCAAGTACATAACTGGTTTTATAACAGCTTTTCAAGGCGCTGTGAGATTATAAAATAAATCAGTTTAGTCCAGCTTCCACAGCCTGAGCGTGGAGGCGTACAGTACGAGCATCTGTTCTCTTCTCCTGGTGGCGAGGTGGCTGAACTCACAGCATAACCTGATTAAGTGGCTCCTCTTGGGTGCTAAAGGGAGTATGCGTCACTTGGTATCTAGGACACGGGTTCTACCCATGAGACTGCTGCATACAGTCTGTGTTACACCTCATGAGGACAACCCTCGTAACTAAAGCTACCGGCAGCAGCACTTTTAATATCTGGGGTGCAGATGCATGATACTCCTGCCGTTTATTGTTACACAACTGAGTTCCCTGACATAGTTTGTGTAATGATTGACACTGCTGCTGGAACAAAACAATTTCCCAATTTGGGCTAAATAAAGTATCTATCTATATTTATCAGTGTGTGTGTGTTTTCAGGTAGCCACAGTGCCGTCCGCCCAGTCGTTGCGTCTCATGGACTTCAGCTTCAGTGACTTTGATTTGTCAGACACAGAAACCACCATGGCTACAATCCGGATGTTTGTCGACCTCAATCTGGTCCAAAACTTCCAAATGAAGTACACAGTAAGAATTAAAGTAGATTTTACCTAAAAATGCTTTATATTGTTTCTGTCCATCTGTTTATCTCACCAGAGCTGGATAACACACTAGTTATTTGGTAGAGGCCCCTGGAATCCTGACATACATCATACATCCTAAGTCAAATGAGGCAGGTGGTTGTTCAATTATTAAAATGATAGCTATTGCTACATGACCACAGGTAATATTTCCAGACATCAATAGAGAGACAAAGCCTGAATTACATCAGTGATACACAAAAGGCTTTTTTATTGCGAAAGGTATCATGGCAACCATCACATTAACCATCACATTATGCTGACAATTGTTGGTTGTTTTCAATAAATGTCTCAGAAAGAGACATGAGAAGCCTCCTGGTTTCAGTAATTGCATAAAACTGCTGGTCATTATCAGCAGCATTTGAGCATGAATGTGTGTGTGTCCGATGATGAGTGAATGCATAAGTGAGTTAATATTTGTGCATCCTTAATTCAGAGACCACACACACATGGACAGAGCAATGTCATACACCAAAAACACTTCCCCAACAAGAATCCCTCACACACTCTGGTGTCTGTCAGTAACATCTCCCCACCCCCGGCACCGGACTTCTGGCGGGTTTGGCTGGCGTCCTCAGCACACTCCCCTCCTGAAGCGGTCCCTGTGTGTTGGTGGTTTACCTCCACGGTGCAGCCGAGGGGCCAGAACAGAGGGTCTTTGATTGGAGCTGATTGGGCCCTCAGGCAGGAGAGCTGTCAGTCTGCAGCAGCCTGCCTGGGGGTACACTACACAACATGCTATTATTCTCAATTATAATGTGGCATCAAAGTATAATTCAGATCATATTTAAAGGTTCTCTCATCACAGGTACAGCAGCCACTGTGTAGTCATGGCAATTCAAATTCCCAGGCTCCTCCAACAATGCAACATAAATATATATAAGACATAAAACAATACAACTAATACAAAATGTGCAAGAAATAACAGTATAAAAATAAAATAGTGCATGAGAATGTCAGAAGACTAATGTGGAGGTAATGCAGGAGAAGTTAAATATACAGCATACTGCTTATTGTAATAATAAATAAATAAATATGTGAGATAACGGTTCCTGAAGAGTAAACGTGACTTTTTTTACTTTGAGTTAAGTTTCAAATTAAAAAGCGTTTACTTTTTAAACATCGTTTCACTGGCAAGGTGCAAAGTATTCAATTTCAAATCATATTTGGACAGTCAAGCCACTTTGCTTATCACAGGTTATTTTACTTTGTTCTCTGTTGTTTCTGCAACCCTCTCATAAGGTAGTCTGTGTTTTCCTTCTAGAGGAGATAATCCTGTAATCACCCCGAGGGGAGTTCAGGTGTTGAGCAGGACTAAGATGGGACAGGTAGGAGTTCAGGTGTTGAGCAGGACTAAGATGGGACAGGTAGGAGTTCAGGTGTTGAGCAGGACTAAGATGGGACAGGTAGGAGTTCCATGTGTTGAGCAGGACTAGATGGGACAGGTAGGAGTTTCCAGGTGCTTGAGCAAGTGACTAAGATGGGAACAGGTAGGAGTTTCAGGTGTTGAGCAGACGGAAGTAGAGTTCAGGTGTTGAGGCAGACTAAGATGGGACAGGTAGGAGTTCAGGTGTTGAGGCAGGACTAAGATGGGACAGGTAGGAGTTCAGGTGTTGAGCAGGACTAAGATGGGACAGGTAGGAGTTCAGGTGTTGAGCAGGACTAAGATGGGACAGGTAGGAGTTCAGGTGTTGAGCAGGACTAAGATGGGACAGGTAGGAGTTCAGGTGTTGAGCAGGACTAAGATGGGACAGGTAGGAGTTCAGGTGTTGAGCAGGACTAAGATGGGACAGGTAGGAGTTCAGGTGTTGAGCAGGACTAAGATGGGACAGGTAGGAGTTCAGGTGTTGAGCAGGACTAAGATAGGACAGGTAGGAGTTCAGGTGTTGAGCAGGACTAAGACGGGACAGGTAGGAGTTCAGGTGTTGAGCAGGACTAAGACGGGACAGGTAGGAGTTCAGGTGTTGAGCAGGACTAAGATGGGACAGGTAGGAGTTCAGGTGTTGAGCAGGACTAAGACGGGACAGGTAGGAGTTCAGGTGTTGAGCAGGACTAAGACGGGACAGGTAGGAGTTCAGGTGTTGAGCAGGACTAAGACGGGACAGGTAGGAGTTCAGGTGTTGAGCAGGACTAAGACGGGACAGGTAGAAGTTCAGGTGTTTAGCAGGACTAAGACGGGACAGGTAGGAGTTCAGGTGTTGAGCAGGACTAAGACGGGACAGGTAGGAGTTCAGGTGTTGAGCAGGACTAAGACGGGACAGGTAGGAGTTCAGGTGTTGAGCAGGACTAAGACGGGACAGGTAGGAGTTCAGGTGTTGAGCAGGACTAAGACGGGCACAGGTAGGAGTTCAGGTGTTGAGCAGGACTAAGACGGGACAGGTAGGAGTTCAGGTGTTGAGCAGGACTAAGACGGGGACAGGTAGGAGTTCAGGTGTTGAGCAGGACTAAGACGGGACAGGTAGGAGTTCAGGTGTTGAGCAGGACTAAGACGGGACAGGTAGGAGTTCAGGTGTTGAGCAGGACTAAGACGGGACAGGTAGGAGTTCAGGTGTTGAGCAGGACTAAGATGGGACAGGTAGGAGTTCAGGTGTTGAGCAGGACTAAGATGGGACAGGTAGGAGTTCAGGTGTTGAGCAGGACTAAGATGGGACAGGTAGGAGTTCAGGTGTTGAGCAGGACTAAGATGGGACAGGTAGGAGTTCAGGTGTTGAGCAGGACTAAGATGGGACAGGTAGGAGTTCAGGTGTTGAGCAGGACTAAGACGGGACAGGTAGGAGTTCAGGTGTTGAGCAGGACTAAGACGGGACAGGTAGGAGTTCAGGTGTTGAGCAGGACTAAGATGGGACAGGTAGGAGTTCAGGTGTTGAGCAGGACTAAGATGGGACAGGTAGGAGTTCAGGTGTTGAGCAGGACTAAGATGGGACAGGTAGGAGTTCAGGTGTTGAGCAGGACTAAGAGGGGACAGGTAGGAGTTCAGGTGTTGAGCAGGACTAAGACGGGACAGGTAGGAGTTCAGGTGTTGAGCAGGACTAAGACGGGACAGGTAGGAGTTCAGGTGTTGAGCAGGACTAAGACGGGACAGGTAGGAGTTCAGGTGTTGAGCAGGACTAAGACGGGACAGGTAGGAGTTCAGGTGTTGAGCAGGACTAAGACGGGACAGGTAGGAGTTCAGGTGTTGAGCAGGACTAGACGGGACAGGTAGGAGTTCAGGGTGTTGAGCAGGACTAAGACGGGACAGGTAGGAGTTCAGGTGTTGAGCAGGACTAAGACGGGACAGGTAGGAGTTCAGGTGTTGAGCAGGACTAAGACGGGACAGGTAGGAGTTCAGGTGTTGAGCAGGACTAAGACGGGACAGGTAGGAGTTCAGGTGTTGAGCAGGACTAAGACGGGACAGGTAGGAGTTCAGGTGTTGAGCAGGACTAAGATGGGACAGGTAGGAGTTCAGGTGTTGAGCAGGACTAAGACGGGACAGGTAGGAGTTCAGGTGTTGAGCAGGACTAAGATGGGACAGGTAGGAGTTCAGGTGTTGAGCAGGACTAAGATGGGACAGGTAGGAGTTTCAGGTGTTGAGCAGGACTAAGAGGGGACAGGTAGGAGTTCAGGTGTTGAGCAGGACTAAGACGGGACAGGTAGGAGTTCAGGTGTTGAGCAGGACTAAGACGGGACAGGTAGGAGTTCAGGTGTTGAGCAGGACTAAGACGGGACAGGTAGGAGTTCAGGTGTTGAGCAGGACTAAGACGGGACAGGTAGGAGTTCAGGTGTTGAGCAGGACTAAGACGGGACAGGTAGGAGTTCAGGTGTTGAGCAGGACTAAGACGGGACAGGTAGGAGTTCAGGTGTTGAGCAGGACTAAGACGGGACAGGTAGGAGTTCAGGTGTTGAGCAGGACTAAGACGGGACAGGTAGGAGTTCAGGTGTTGAGCAGGACTAAGACGGGACAGGTAGGAGTTCAGGTGTTGAGCAGGACTAAGACGGGACAGGTAGGAGTTCAGGTGTTGAGCAGGACTAAGACGGGACAGGTAGGAGTTCAGGTGTTGAGCAGGACTAAGATGGGACAGGTAGGAGTTCAGGTGTTGAGCAGGACTAAGATGGGACAGGTAGGAGTTCAGGTGTTGAGCAGGACTAAGATGGGACAGGTAGGAGTTCAGGTGTTGAGCAGGACTAAGATGGGACAGGTAGGAGTTCAGGTGTTGAGCAGGACTAAGACGGGACAGGTAGGAGTTCAGGTGTTGAGCAGGACTAAGACGGGACAGGTAGGAGTTCAGGTGTTGAGCAGGACTAAGACGGGACAGGTAGGAGTTCAGGTGTTGAGCAGGACTAAGACGGGACAGGTAGGAGTTCAGGTGTTGAGCAGGACTAAGACGGGACAGGTAGGAGTTCAGGTGTTGAGCAGGACTAAGACGGGACAGGTAGGAGTTCAGGTGTTGAGCAGGACTAAGACGGGACAGGTAGGAGTTCAAACAAGGATCATTGGAATAACAAATGAAAAATCACTTAAAAAGTGACAGCATAGAAAAACAACACATTTTGATTTAGACATATACAGATATGAATAATTATGTATGGTTAGCCCTTATGTCAGGGTCCCCCCCCCCCCTGCTTCAGATACACAGTGGGTCTCACAGCTCAAAACAATAGGTCTGACTGAGTTGGTTGAGTTTCTCATTTTGGAGAATATTTTGGATGGGTTCATGTTTTTGTTGAATGTGTGTGTGGGTTTTTTATCTAGAGTATGATGTCGTTAGCATATAAACGTATTGTAGTAGACCTTTAATGTAATTGTTCTCTAGCGCTGTAATACAGATGACGAAGAGGAACTCTACAGGGTGAAAATGTGTTGATCGGAGTCCAAATGGAATTTAGGCATTTATTATTTAAATATTGTGCTTAAACGTTGTACCTTCAGCTCTGTAAAAAATATTCATGAGGGTTTGATAAATGTCTTTCTCCTCTTTCTCCCATTTTTAGAGTTTATGCCATTGGATTCTGAGTGTGAAGAAGAACTACAGGAAGAATGTGGCCTATCACAACTGGAGACACGCCTTCAACACGGCCCAGACCATGTTCACCCTGCTGAAGTCCGGACGCCTACAGGTCAGCCAATCACTGCTCAGGACCAGCTGATCTGGGTCACTGCCTTTTACTCTAATCCAAAAAGTTGAATTCTATACAGATGCTTTCATGCAATCTCTTTTTTTTGCATGCTTATGTTATCATCTACAGATCTAACATGCTTTACTGCCATTCAAAACATTTCATTGTCCGCCTTCCACAGCAGCTAGAAACTGGAGAACTGGACATGCTAATATGAAAGAAAATCCAATGCTGTTAACAATTGATCATTTTTATATCTTGTTGAAAAATCTACGATAAGAGTCTTATATCCAAATTGGTTTCCCTGAAAGCAACACAATTCCTGTTTACATCTACAGAAGTATGCAAGAGTAACTTTTCTGTTTTGGTTAGTGGGGCAGTAATATTTAATTTACATGATTTGTTGCTAAATGAAACAACACTTTGAGTATATTTATAAAATTACATTATCTCATGTAAGATACTAGTGGTTTCTGTAATACAAAACAGTAATTCTGCATAAAATATGAGCAACTATGAGTAGCTTCAGACAGGACATATCAGACATGCTTGATTTTTGTATTTATTCTCTTCAGAATGCCGTCCTTTCACTCTGTTGGAAAGCTGATTGTCATATGCAGAAACTGTCCTCTGTGTAGTGAGTGCCCACACTGCAACGTGTTCAAAGCTATGAGGCTTCTGTTTGGTTTGATTGAAGTAACAGATGGTCATCTGTTAGGGACTTGACTTGGGAACCTAAGGGGGGCCAGTTCAAGTCACCAAACAGAATAATGCCCCTTTTCCTCCAACCCGGTGGAGTTGGCAGTGCTGCTCGTCCACTAAGTGAGTTGAATAAAGAATTCTTTGATATCGGATAGCTTCAGTTCAGCAGCCTTTTGATGGGCTGTTCAAGATCCGTTCCTGTGCTTTTCTGGTGCTTAACTGGTTCTTCTCTGTAGCACCACTTGTGTTTCCACCGCTCAGAGCCCGACTGTTGCTGCCGCTGCTGCGTCATTACATCACTGTTTACGTCGCTGATTTTCTCCCCAACGCCGCTCACAACAACCACTGCGTCGGGTCGATGATCGTGTTGCTTTAAATCATACGGAGCCAGATTAAACTAAATAACTACTCCTCAACCTTTACGTATCGTACACACATTTCCGTTGCGTTGAAGCTTGCCGGTGGGCGTGTCTGGCGCACGACCAACAACCAATCACATTAATCTCCCGCCCCGGACACACAAGCACACGGTTTGATTGGCTAGCGCTTGTACTGGCATATGATTAGATCGGCTGGCGCTTCCGTCGACGATACGTTATACTTTTCTCCAGAGTGCCGTGGTTCATTGTTTATTAATGTGGTAGAGCGGCATTTACCAACCGCTGCAGTGCTGCTCGTCCACTGGAGTTTAGTCTACCGTTAACTCACGGCAGAGTTTAGTCTACCGTTAACTCACGGCAGAGTTTAGTCTACCGTTAACTCACGGCAGCGGCCGCTGGAAAGTATTCACTTTGTTTGGTGGAGAAGGGGCATAAGAGTGTGTACAGCAGCTTCCCACTGCTCCTTGTAAGACAGGAGAATGCAGAATCCTAACTCCATCGTGTGTCCGTGCTCTTGTCTTCCTCCTGACAGAATAAACTGAATGACTTGGAGGTCTTGGCTTTGATGATTGCAACTCTAAGCCACGATCTGGACCACAGAGGAGTCAACAACTCCTACATACAGAGGTACTGTAGGAGAGATGAGTCACATCAATTATGTATGATTGTATATGTATGTGTGGGAGTCTTTCTCACTTCCTCTGTGTTTCCAGGAGCGAGCACCCTCTTGCCCAGCTGTACTGCCACTCCACCATGGAGCACCACCACTTCGACCAGTGCCTGATGATCCTCAACAGCTCTGTAGGTGGACCTACCTCTACCCACGACACTAAAGGAAACACAAGTCCTTAAGGGGTTTTACTCTGCATAACAACTAGTTCATCTCACCTAGAAACTACAGAGACTAAACGAGACTACAAATGCAAAAACACGACTTGAGTCTAACTTTGAGCGCTTCAGCTGGTTCAGTATGCAGCTGCTGAGCTCCTGACAGGCCTCTGAGGGTCTGCGGTCCCTACATGGCACCCTGCCAGCCTCACTTATTATTTCAACATCTTCACAGCTCTGTGTTGTCTAGCACATATACAGTATGTTAGACAACTGTTAGACACTCACATTCTCTGCTCCCTGTTGAAGGGTCATGCATTCTTTATTTCAAAAGCTAGACAATCCCACCAACAGCAAAAGCACTTGCCCTGTTAGAACTACATAATGTAATAAAAGTCCAATAAGAACTGGTTTTATAACACCTTGTTGCTATGTAATGTAATAATCTTGCTAAGAGCCTCATAACAGTGGATTTACAGTGTAAGCCTTTATATGAACAGTGTTATCACAGAAAGCTGTAACCTTAGTCATAACATATTTGGATAGTAGTGCTTGAGGTGCTCTTTGGATAAGGAACTTATCTATTCCTGAGAGGACTGCTGTCTCACTAACACACACACACACACACACACACACACACACACACACACACACACACACACACACACACACACACACACACACACACACACACACACACACACACACACACACACACACTGTTGTTTGTACTGGATGTAAATGTAAATCATTACATCTGTTCCTGCACTCACACACTTGTTATTCTTGTGTTTCTGCCTCTCCAGGGAAACCAGATCCTGAGCGCCCTCTCCCTGGACGAGTACAAGGCCACTCTGAAGATGATCGAGAGGGCTATTCTGGCCACTGACCTGGCTCTGTACATGAAGTACGTACCAAACATCAAGCCCAGATGGAAGTCTGACTGGAGAGCAGCAGAGAGGGGGAATCGCTTAGGAAGAGTCAACGTGGGCAGAGCGAAGAGACGGGGGTTATTCTGTAGTTTTATGACTGATTACATTTAATCAGCACTTTACAAAATATATCACTTAGATTACTATGCAGAAACTCTTTGTACTTGTAAAGCTTAATGAGGACATGAGGCCACCTAATTGAGCTTGAGGCCCCTGGACTGGCAGTTAGTCCCTGTGCGAAGGACCGCGGTTCGAGGAGCAGAGAAACTCAGGGATGTTAGCCTTTGCAGATCATGTACATGCACTAAAACCTATAGAACACACTACAGGAGAGGGAAACCCCCCAAAAGCTTAACAGGGCCTCTTGGAAAGTTGTTCAAACTGTATTTTCTAAAATAACCCCCACAGTATTTGCTCAATGCTACACTATGTTCACCAGCTGCTGTTAATGCAGGTACAGTGGGTTTATCCAAGCTTTATCACTGAAAGCAGTTTGCAGGATTTTATTATCCTGCAAATTATGTAATTATGAGAGTTGGTTTAATAACATGCAACATCCACAGATATGAATTGGTGGACTGGTGGAGACCACAATTTGGTTTAGGAAAATACTACATTATTAGATATATTTTCCTTCCCACATTTTATTTCATGTTTTCCATCTTCCTACCCCTTTTTCTCTCTTTTACATTCATCCACCTCAGTGATAACAGCTCTCAACAAATCCCTCTCTCAGTCTAGACAGTGGGTGGTGAAGACCTATAGCTTTTATTCTGTGAGGACAATTATCTGTATCATTGTGTGTGTGTGTGTGTGTGTGTGTGTGTGTGTGTGTGTGTGTGTGTGTGTGTGTGTGTGTGTGTGTGTGTGTGTGTGTGTGTGTGTGTGTGTGTGTGTGTGTGTGTGTGTGTGTGTGTGTGTGTGTGTGTGTGTGTGTTATCAGAAGGCGTGGTGAATTCTTTGAGCTCACAAAGAACAGCCAGTTTGTTTGGGAGGACGAACATCACAGAGACTTACTGAGGTGAGTTCCAAGTCTTCAAAACTCAAATAACGTTCCAAGTTTGCAACACTGCACCCAACAGAGCCAGGCCAGGTTTCCCCTGTTTCTTGTCCTAAAACTTCCTGATTAGTATTCCTCTGGTTTACCTTCACAGTCAAGTCCAACTTTTAAATGTGGCTTTTAACCGAATTGCATTTTATTTTCCTATTTTCTCTAATTGTATTCTTATTTCATTCTTGTTTTATTCCTGTTTTATTCCTGCGTTGGTATTGAGAGTTATTTTGAATCACAAAGCTATGCGTTACTCGGGATGGGGGAGATAGTATTATTTATGTTTTTGTATGTGTTTGTGAAGCACTTTGAGTTACCTTTGAGTATTAAAAGTGCTTTATAAATAAAGTTTGATTTGATTTTTTATTTGAGTAGTGTTGACCAATCACGTTTGAGCCTGTTTGGTTAAATGCAGGTTAACAGTTCATTGTGGAGAGCAAAAGAGGCAAAATGCACATGCCGAAATACAAACCATGGAACCCATCAGCTATCATCTGATGAGGATCTGATGAGGATCATCCACTCAGAGAGATTGTCTCTTAACTCATACGTTTGCACAACTCATACCTTAGTCAAAATATCCTCTGGCCAATAAATATTGTTCAGTGCCCAGAGGCAAACTGTTGTCACATGATATCCATGGGTTTGGAACCCATCACATCCTGGCTCCAGTTTTGTAGGCTTCTGAACATACAGACTCACATCACTCTTAATATGAGCATTTCTCCCAAAATGAGTGCTGTGTGTGACTAAGTATTTATCTACAAATCAATGGCTATTTAAAGAAAAAAGTTAAAACATTCCAAAGTGACTACTATTGATACAAATGTAACTTGAATATTAAAGGTTTGTGCAACTGAAGCATCTTAACCGAGTTCTCTCTTCACAAACATGGTATTTTTGTTTCTGTGTTATTTCAACATACTGAAATATGGCCATGCACCATAACTCACTATGGTTTTATGAGCTAATGCTCTGAAGAGCTACTGTTGACGATGAGATAGGGAGTGGCTTTATGAACACCAACGTGTCATTCTGTGTTCCTCTTCAGGTCAATGCTGATGACGGCGTGTGACATCTCAGCCATCACCAAGCCCTGGCCCGTGCAGAAGAGGGTAACCCCCCCCCCCCCCACACCGCTGTGATTTATCTAGCGCTCTGTTGGTTGCTGCTAAAAAAAACTCATAGTTAACAGCTACTCTTTACATATAAAAACACATGACATCATGCAGTACTAGACTACCAATATATATTTAGAAACATCCCAAATGGTCTTTATATTAACAAACTGCAATATTTCAAGGCTCTTCCATGTATTTGTAAGGAATTAAAGTAATGCATATTTGAATATTCTTTAATAATATAATACCATTGTGCATAATAGGTACTTTTACTTTTAGTACATTTAGCTGACAATACTCCTGTCCTTCTACTAAAGTCACATTTTGAGTCCAGGACTTTCACTTGTAATGGAGTATTTTAAACCAAAGTACTTCTACTTTTACTCAAGTAAAGGAACTACTTCCACCTCTGCTTATGACTAATGTGACATCACTAATGAACCGCAACATGCTTTTAGGTTTCTAACTGTAAAGAGCATTGTAATAATTACAGTATCTTTCTATTGACTTTTTAAACACACACACACACACACACACACACACACACACACACACACACACACACACACACACACACACACACACACACACACACACACACACACACACACACACACCCTTCTTTCAGCATCCCCATGTCAGAGCAGTCTCCCTATGGGTTAATGTTTCCGTGAGCTTCGTTAGTCTGCGCCTTGTTAGGAACCTGACAGTGGAGAGAGGTTCAGGCAGGCAAAACACTGTGTGTGTGTGTGTGTGTGTGTGTGTGTGTGTGTGTGTGTGTGTGTGTGTGTGTGTGTGTGTGTGTGTGTGTGTGTGTGTGTGTGTGTGTGTGTGTGTGTGAGGTTGTTTGTGTTGACAAGTCAGTGCTCTTTAATAAAAACAGATGTGGCCCTCTCCTCAGATAACCTCTCAAAATTTATTTGGAAAGTAAACATGCAAATACTTTCTCTAACTCAAACACGCACTCTGATGCCAGATCAGATAAACTGAGTGTTTCCTCTTTCTCCTCCGCATGGGTACATTTTGGCTTTAGATGAACATTGGAGTTTCATTTTAGTTGTCATGCCTTTAAACCTCTAGTATGGTTTAAACCTTTTTAAAGCTTAGTGGATTCAGTAGCTTACCACAGAAGTGACCAAAGAACTGCCACCAAAATCTACATGGTTCTGTCCAGTGTTCATGTTTGTGTGTTTTAATTCTCTGTGAGTACAAATAAGTCAGTGGATCAAATTCTGATATTAAAACATTGGTGAGTGCAGCTTTAAATAAACAATATGACAGGGTGAATGTATCCTTCATGTGACGGTGTGGGGACACGTTACAGAGAGCGAGGTGTAGCATGGATACAGTTAGAAGCTTTGTGCTTACAAATAAACGCTTTGATCGGTGGATTATTTATTCTCTTAGTTTGAGGTTTATCTGAAATCATTAATGAATATTAATTATAGTACGTTTCATATTCACTTTTTGTCATGCTGGTTTGTAGGAGTATAGCCTGTGTTGAACTCAGGCTATTATCCCACTCCAAAACAGAAAAGCAATCAATCTTTAATTTAGCCCAATATCACAAAGTGCCAATGTGTACAATCTGTACAGCATAAGACCCCCTCTATCCATAGACCCTTGCAGAGGCTAACGAGAAGCTCCTTAGCTGAAGTCATGTAACTACTGTATAATGTGTTTCACATGATATGATCTCCCCTCACAGACTTGGATTTACTTGCCTGACCAAACTGATTATAACATATGGCCAAAGTGTGCAAGCATCCCACAATTAACAGTTGGAAATGCTTTCATAGATCCAGTCGTGGCTTTTGTCTTGCTGTTGCTCCTGAGCACTGAAGTTATGTTGGCGTGGAGCTAACTTGCTCAGCTATGCAGACAAAAAATACTTTTGTTTTGACTGACATGGGTAAAGTAAATAAAGACTAAGTTACTTAGCCCGACTAGTTTTGGTTTTGAGTCGCTGTAATACGCTGTCTCTCTGTCAGCTGTTATTATCAGTGAGCTGCCGATGGCTTCCACACATACTGAGAGACTGGAGCTGCAGTCATATTTTAGCTCTGTAATCACTGAGACTATTAACTCAGTCACTAGCACTCTTTTGGCAGATCTCTTGGTCTCGTAGTGTACGTGTTTCTTCAAGTCGTTGCGTGTGTTCTTCCTTGCCTTCTTTATAGAGTCTTGGTCTAACTGGTTCTTTTTCAGTGGATTTAACTCAGGCTGTTTGACAAGTTTGTATCCACGATACAATATCCCAACTTAGTTCCCAAAATCAACCTCATGAAAATGCCTCCACTAAAATTCAAAGTGCCACAAATATGCCAGGGTTCTAGGGTTAAATACAACAGCATAGCAGCAGTGTGATATAACAGAGGAAATGGTGTTTTAGTTGTGATACATGTTTGCTTCTTTGCCTTTCATCACATTTGAATATATGTTTGTTTTAGAATACTTTTGGAACTAAAAGTGTTAACATTGATAACAGTGTAAAGAAATAACTCCTTGATATGATCTTTTTTTGTCCACTGAATTTTAGAATCAACATGTTGTTTTTAAGATTTCATTTGAACTCTGATACAGGTTGCCGAGCTGGTAGCCACTGAGTTCTTCGAGCAGGGGGATAAGGAGAGGCGGGAGCTGAACGTTGAACCCATCGTAAGTGCAGTGTCACATCAGGGTTCTACAAACCTTGAAAAGAAGTAGAACAAAAGCTGTGGTGTGCCACTGGGATCTTTTTCAATTCAGTTTTCATTGTGTTCCAGTTTATCACCAAAACACGCAGCATCTTATTTAAAGGGCTAAACTGGTGATGCTCAGCTGACGTTTTTGTGTCACCTGACAAATAGTTGCATGTTGCATCACTGTCCTGCTAATGGTTCAGAAATGTGGTTCTTGTTGTTGTCTGAAACTCCATAATACTGGACACGAAATATGATGTGATTTGGATACATTTCTGCCATTTTTGTATTTGTTTTACGAGTATTTATATTCCGAACCTTTCACTTTAGGACCTGATGAATCGGGAGAAAAGAGATAAGATTCCCAGCATGCAGGTGTCCTTCATTGATGCCATCTGCACTCAGTTATATGAGGTATATCATCCATTTCTCCTGCAGTGACCACAGATCGCGTCGATTGAAATGAATGAATGCTGGAAAAGTTATTTTGACATTGCCAATGGCATTGGTCCTTTAAATGTGCCACTTGCTAGAAAGATGAATGAATTCTGTATTTTAGTACAATGCTCATTTAATTTTCCCAAGGTAAATAACATCTCTTTGTCTCCGTCACAGACCTTGTCTGGCATGTCGGAGTACTGCTCCCCGTTGTTGGAAGGATGTCAGAAGAACAGGCAGCGTTGGAAGTGTTTGGCCGAGGAGTGTGAGAAGGGGCTGGGTAACGGCTTCATGTGATCCCAACACGAGTTTGATTTTAAACCAACATTAATAATGTCCATGGTTTTCCATGTCCAACCTGGTCTCACGACATTTCATGACATTTGCATGAGATCTAAACGGACAAATATGAGTCTTTGTGTGAAAAAAGGTTCAGTTCCCAACTTTTACCAAGAGTTTTTCTAAATTAAGAATAATTCCAGTTACCTAGAACTTTGATCTTACTTTCATAGAGCCCACCCTTCCTATTTGTGATGATAAGGTTGTACTCACTAAACCTTAATAAGACTAAGAGCCAGGGACAGCCAAGCTTTGAGTTGAATGCTAACACAAGCATGCTAGCAGAAGCACAATGCTTTCATGCTGACGTTGAGCGCATAGTGTTGCTGTAATGTTTAATGTTTCCTTATTAACAGCTAATAAACAGCTGATTAGCACTAAAGCTAATTATGATGGGAAAGTCATTTGTTTCTGAGCCTCTAGTCATTAGCTAAAGTATTGCTTCAGGAAGCGGATCACCAAAGTCATTAGAATTAGTGCTCTTTGAACAATAAATGTCTGTACTCATTTCATTGCAATCCATCTAGTAGATACTGAGATACTAAGTACTGGGGGCCGACTAAGATTTTAAGGGTTTAATGGTTTTGCATAATTTAATAAAACACAAACATCCTAGAAAACAACAGACCAGCAGTGCAGGAAGAGGCAAAACAAAACGTGGGCTTATTTAAAGCCTCTACCTAAATAATGTTAAAAATAACAATTGTATACAAACACAAGATCAAGAAACTAACAATTGCTTAAATTCAATACAAATTTCAAACTTTAAGAGCAATATGTGCTATAGTTACAATTTTAACATAATAACACTGAAACCGGGCATCATACATGGGTCAAAGCAGCGAGGTACACTTGTTTGTTATGGTTGGAAGGCCTGCAACGGATGGTGAATTAACCTCTACAAGTCCAACACTTAGGGGTCCTCCAGGCTAAAGGTTCCTTTGCCACATTAAGTTGGTGTGGTTAGCAGTCTGTGTTGAAGCTAACCGTGAGGCTAACAAAACTCCATGTAAAGGAATGAGTTGGGATGATCTGGCTAAGCTTGTTTACATCCCTCCGATCATCCCACAGCACATTTCTGGCCCAGCCGGATTCTGTACCCAGATCTTAGCGAACACTTTAGTGAGTACGTGTCATAGCAGGTACAAATGATTACTAAATCTGTGAAAGTAAGACCGAATAAAACATTAAACAAATTGATAAAGTATCTTAAGCTAACTGTTAGCCTACTGTTTCACAAACAGGTATGATCCTTGTTCCAGAGGTCATGCTCATTTTAGGGAAACTTTGTGAGACTCGTCTTCCTGTCATCACGTTATTTCATGGCTGTCACTAGAGAACATAACAGTCAGCACTAAGCTATATTTATTATAGTAGCCTTTTTTCTTTTCTTTTTTTGCACAGAGTGACAGTCATGTTGAAGTCTCACTTACATTATCTCTCACAGTTAGTATATTTTAGGAAAACACTGAATAGTGATACAGATCTCTGGGGATCAGCACCAGTTTGGTGGAGACAGATATTGTACTGTAGACATATGTACATAATATACATTACATAGTGTCACAATAATCTGAGAAACTTGTTAAGTGTGTCTTCATTCACAGCACTACAAGGGTTTGAGCCTTTTGTAATGTTTTCACTCATTGTCTTAACTATTGTGTATTTATTTTTGTTTTATGTATTTATTAGAGTTTCTATATTGTAAGGTCAGTCTTTTGTCAACAGCACACAATTCTTTATATAGTAAAAAGCAGTTTTCATATTTAAAAAAACCCTATTTTTGAAGTACCTTTCTTAGGAACAACACTTCCGGGTGCCATTTGGATGTGTACTGTTTTGTATTGCTGTTTCAAAGAAAAGGCCCGTCATTTCAAAAGGGAAATGGGTCGACGTTTTCCACTGCTGTTATGATAGAATAGGAGCCATTCACAATTCAAAGGAATGTTTGTTTTATATTTTTAGAAATTGAAAGTTGGAGCAACCAGTGTTATGATTTACTAGTATGACGTTTCTTGCATATCCACCAACAATAGAACAGAACTGAAAATCAACCAATAAGATTGTGTAATCTAGCCCGGGTACACCGTATTGTATAAACAGTGTCCTATCAAATTGAAATTAATCTTATTAAAGCTGGTCTTCAATTGATATACAAGAAATGTAACACACTTTAAAGAATGGCCAAGAGTTCAGCCCGGGTTAATTAAAGGTCCCATGTCATGGCCATTTCTACTGATCATAAGTCCATTGTTGAGGTCTACTAGAATACATTTATATTGTTCAATTTTCCAAAATCACATTGGTTTCTCAAACAGCATCTCTGTTAGTATGTGTATTCACTAAATGTCACTCTGGGGCAGCACAGACAGGTCTTTTCTGTGTTAGAGTTGTACTCGCTACAGGGTGCACTTTGAGGGGTTGTGGCTCTGCAGACCGTTTACATGCAGAAAAAGCTTCATAACACAAGGGGACGGTAATAACCAGAAAAGCATGACATGGGACCTTTAACTCTCCATTCAAAATGATTATGAATGTATCAGGGCTATAAGCATGACACCGTTTCTTAGTGTTCATTCCTTTATAGTAGAACAGTCCATTTGGAAAGTATAGGAATGTGAAAGTGAAGTAGTCTGAATACCTTTTGGCCACATTTTTAAACCGGTTTCAACCAAGGAGCATCTTTCAACTTCATCAGAGCAATGAGAAACATATTAGTAATAAAGACTTTTGTACACGTTCCACATTTTTGTTCTTTTCTTGTAAATGACAGACCTCAACACATTTCTAAACTAGGACTGGGTATCATTTCAAATGATTTATGGTCATGACAGTACCACGTCCAAGTGTGCCGGATTTTAAGTAGGCAGGACTCAACTTGATTACGTCTGTTGACCCTGTCAACGGCTCACATCTGAACACATGTGAGCCGTTGACATTAATGCTCGTCGCATTAAAGATTCCCAGCAGAAAACCAACGTGGTAGACGAACAAGATTTATATCTCTGCAGTTTCACAACACATGGACTTACATCTAACTGTGCTGTTTCTACTGACAGTCACTGCTCCACCAGGTTCCACTTCTTTCTAGCAGACAGCGATTGGGACAGTAATTGGTGTTGAGCTCTGCCTACAAGCTCTATATCAACTGTCTCAGCTACACTGAGCAGTGGACCATCACACACTATGAAACCTGCGTGCAAGTTTTACATATGCTAGGAGTCAGGTTATTTGAGGGTTAGTTAACCTTTAAGCTAAGTCTGGACTGAGTTGCATTTCTGAAGCTCAGTTAAACAGATCATTTCAAGTTACAGTATCTACGAAGTTTCATTAAGGTCAAGAGCAGTGTCTGCCCAGGCTGTTATAAAGTGTAGTTAGTATCAGTACGCTCAGTAACACCCAGGTAGGTTTGACTAACAGCCCTGTCTTTACTAAAGCACTTATCCAGACACATGCTCAGAATGCTGTACCAGTGGTTGTTTTGTATCCTGAATGTCTCCAGGACTTAGTACATGTGCCTGACCTCTGTGCTTCTTCAATACTAAATATATATTTCCTTACTGCTTCAGTCTCTGGGTTGTTCCAGAGATGTTGTTTTCTAAGTCTAAAAGTTGCATGTACATTAGAGGGCATTACACCAGTAAGATGTTTTTTAGATAAGAGATTTTCCGATGTAATATGCCTTTATAAAGGAGGTGTTCTGTCGACACCACTGAACACTGTGAGCCAAGTAAACTGTATGTTACAATAAAGATAATGATTATTTTCTGTGGATTTCTTCTATAACATGACACACTGTGTAAACTACAATACCACATAATCACCTGGAACCAACTAGTGAGGATGCACTGCCACCTTCTGGTCAGAAGCGGTTAACCCATGACAATGAAAAACGTTTGAGAAAGACATTTATTTACGACATTTTATAAAAGTTTTACATATAAACCACTATCTTCTAACAGAAGTTGACGACTTAAGAGAGAGGGGAAACAATAAAGGAAAGAAAAGACACAGTTGTTCCAAATTGTTGGATCAATGCTCATGAGAAATATTTACATCAACGTAGACAAAACAGGTTGTTGTCACATTCTTCTCAAGAAGAAAAAGAAAGACACAGGCACAATCAGGAAATGACAGCAGAACAACTTTCTCTCTGTGTGAGAGTCTAAACAGAGTCGGTCCTCTTGTACGCCACCATGCTGTTCACCTTGTGGATGGAGGTGGCGAAGGAGCGCAAGCGCACCTCCTCTGACTGGTCGATGATCTGCGGCCCAGACGCCTCCCATTTATCAGGAACCAGCAGGTCTTTGTCTGTGTAGACAAGGAGGTCAAAGGCACCTGGAGAGCAAGAGGCAGAGGTCAGATGGTGAAGGAGAAGTCAACTGCTTATCATCCACACCTGAATACTAAGGCTTCATCGTTTCCCTCACCAGAGTCTCTTCCTCACTCCCGCCCCGTAAGATGCGGGGATGGAGGAGTCCTCAGCAGGGTTCTTACACCTTTTCCAAAGTCAAATTCAAGCACTTTTCAAGAATTTTCAAGGTGCATTTTCAAGCATCTTTTCAGCTGTTGTAAATTATATATTTATATACACATAATACTTATACTCAAATGATTATTTCCCCACCTCACATTAAATCAGATGTTCTTTATGCTATAAACAACCAAATGTGTGTTTCATAATAGCATTCAACTTGAGGATGAACAATTAAAGAAAAGAAAACTAAGTTTAATATTTCAAAATGAGTGACCCATCTGTACGTAGACTGGGCCTCCCATATAACTTTTCAATACATTATTGATTACTATTTTTGAGGTACTTTTAGGTTGGCAGTAAACATAAGTCAGAAGTACATGGTGTACTTTTCCTCCACTACATGTATTTAATACCTTTAGTTACTTCACAGATGTGGATGAATGATGTGAAATCTAATCAAGTGTTGAATCAGACTTTAGTTCCACCTGGAGTAAATCCACCAGCTACCCTGCAGTATACAAAGTCATTCAAACTAGCTGCACCTTCACCAGCTTTGAGAACACTTTCATGATCAATCATTATAAAACATATCATATATATTATTCTGAAATGGACCAATCTGCACAACGACTACTTTTACTGTCGCTACTTTCACTATATTTTGATGAGAATACTTTTATACTTTTACTTGAGGAACATTTTGAATGCAGGACTTTTACTGAAACAGAGTATTCCTACACTCTGGTACTTCTACTTTTGCTAAGTACAAGATCTGAGTACTTCTACTTTTACTCAAGTACAAGACCTGAGTACTTATTCCACCTCTGGTAGCGTATTAGCCTGAATTGTAGCCACAAAATCATGCAGAGCTGCATAAAAATAGACTCACAAAAGGTAACTAATATTTACAAACGTGTACAATTTGCACGTAGGTAATGCAAATTACTCAAGACACCTGACTTATACATCTTCAAAGGAAGACTGTGTTCATTCTACAATTACATGATGGGATTAAAGCCAAATGTAGTTTTACTTGTATAATACTTCAAGATTTTATATAAAAGCCTGTTTCTAAAAGTATCAACCATAGCGACGCGGTCAAATCCTCAGTTTATAATAACATACTAACAAGCTAAGGTCTAATTATGCAACCAAGTCTCACGGTTTTCCTGTTATAGTCACGAAATAAATGTAATCTATTGATTCGTGTTCGTTTTCAAATAAACAAAGTCTTGGCTTTCAGAATATTAAACTTGTTTCGGCAAATTCAGATGATAAATACAACTTTGAAGCTTCGGCATGATTACAAGCAGAGAACGGACTAATGTAACATCACAGCAAGCATAACAACAGCCGGTGTTTCTTACACAAACGCAAAAATACACAAACACACTCACCAGCTTCCCCCAGACCAGTAATACAAACCAGTAATACAAACGAAAATGTGTCTTCGGGTCAATGTGACTGATTTCGATAGAGCAAGTCACATTTGGTTTAAGCAAGAAACATACTACCAGTAGAAATACATTGCTTTCAAAATCGCTCGGTGTCGAATCAATAGATTATATTTCGTGACTATAACACGAAATGCCGTGAGTGCTTCATCCTCTGAACACCACAGGATGGCGACTGTAACGCACTTTAACATAGGTACGCTCCTCTGAAATGATTGTCCCCTGCAATTATTATTATCCCTCATGGAGTTCGCTATTCAGCTAGCTAACGTTAGCTTAAACAAACGTAACATGCCACGTTAGCCTAATCTAAAATGCTTTACTATGGCGTACCTTTCATGTGGCTCGTCAGCGCAGACTCTCGCATCGTTATTTTTGCAAACTTTGCAGGAGGCTACTCGTGGGCTTGACCCTCGTCTTAGCCATGGCTTGTATTTGTCTTCTGCTAGCCAACGCTCATTGAAACTGCAACCTCCTGGCACACAGTCATCTATCACTCTCATCAGAATGCCCAGGTCACACGTAACACAAACACTTGCAGGTCGCGCGCATAGCGCGGGAAGGCGCAGCGGAGCGGTTTTATGTAGAAGCGAAGCAAAGCATGTACAATTTCAAGCACTTTATCCCAAATTCAAGCACCATTCCCAAAAATCAAGCACTTTTCAAACCTTGAAAACACCTCGTACAATTTCAAGCATTTTCAAGGATTTCCAGCACCCGTACGAACCCTGGCTCAGGTATGATGGGATATCCTTTTACTCGAGCGTTACTTTTAAACGACGCCCTTTACTATTGGCGTGTGCACAGTCTTATCACCTGTTTATTTTGTTTTCCACATGTTTGTTATGATGAATTCGTCCATCTCTTTTTATTCATGATTTTTAATGTATTATTTTCGGTCCTATATTTGTTTCCACGTGTAACGTAAGTTTTGGAGTAGCAGTTATAATAATAATTGGTGGCCTAATAGATCTTATATTGTGTTGTTAGAGCTTGTTTCAGATGCACATTCGTATTGGATGATGTACAGCGCATGACATTAAGGATTTTGGGAGATGGCCCTGTGGGCCATCTAATGGCGCGTTTCCACTGCAGGCCTCGCTTGGTTTGGTTAGGCCTTATTAGGCCCGGCTCACTTTAATGCTGCGCTTCCATTACAGTTTAGGAACTGGGGCAGTTACTATAGTAACGCAGTGTAGGCGGAGCCGTGACGTCATCTTCAATGAGAGCCTCAGAAAAACAACACAGCCGTTAGCTCTTAGCACTCAGAGCTCACAGCTCCTCATATCTGTTCAGAAACTAGACACAAGTTAAACAAGTACAAACCACAGACTGCCTGTGTCATGGTGAATACAGTCGCTGGTTTATCTGTATAGGCCGTTGTTGTGAGTGTGGAAGGTCGGAGCATATATAACGTTAGCTTAGCCAAGCTACATTTAGAAAACACGCATTTTAAAAGGGTTTTTCGCCTGCCGTCTGTCTGCAGACTTGTCAAAGCATTAATTCATGGTTTTTACTAACCGGTATCAGTATGTTGTTACTTCGGCATCATTTTGAAACATTACAATTAAATCACGGTCAAATATGTTCATCTTGTTGTAGTTGTAGCCCCCTTGCCAGCGATTCTCTCTCAGTTTAGCATACTCAGCCCGACTCAGCCTGGTTGTTCCTGGCCCTAGAACCACGATTTAGTCGGGCCAGAAAAAAGGTGAAAAAGTAGCCCCGGGCCAAAACTAGGCCAAGTGGAAACGCAACCAAAAACGGGCCCCGCACGGCTCGGCACGCTTAAAGCGAGCTACCCGCTGCAGTGGAAACGCGCCATTAGCTAATTTACAGATGGCCCTGAGCCCAATAGAGATTGCCCTGAAAAATGCGCGCGGACGAAATGACGCACAAAGGGTTTGGGGGGCCTCCCCCTAGAAAATGTAGATGTTTGCAGGTCTTAGATGCTGTCTGGTGCATTCTCTAGACTGTATTATAAGATGAACCACCACAATATTATATTGTACAATTTCAATTTTATTCTTCATTTCACTTGTTTGTTCTTGTTTGTGTTTTCTCGCTTGCATGCCCTGCATAGCTATAAGAAATACTTAAGTTGTTGGTCAAGACACTTTCCATCTGATGAAGACAGATGGAAAAAAGTAGAAAACATACATTCAGTTATAACTGCCAAAATAAACATTATTTACACTATTATGGCCCCTGTTAAAAATATTTGTAATGTTATCTACTGTATTGCGGCTTTCACACCAGCGCTTTTCCCTTTCTAGCTCCGAGCTAGAGCTTTTCTGGTTCAGCTCCGGTTTCCCTTTTCTGCTCCCACTCTGTTCACACCGCCCAGAGCCTGACTGGTGCTGCCGCTGCTGCGTCATGACGTCACCGTTTACATCGCTGATTTGCTCCCCAACGGCGCTCACAACAACAACAACAACAACAACAACAACGGGGAACTGCGTCGGGTCGATGATCGTGTTGCTTTTAATCACACGAAGCCAGATTAAATTAAATAACGACTTCTCCAACCTTATACTTTGCTCCAGAGTGCCGTGGTTCATTGTTTATTAATGTGTTTCTGCAGCATTTACCGACCGCTGCAGTGTTGGCTGCTCTTCCACGGGAGTTTATTCTCCTCCGTTAGCTCCCGGTTAGCTCACACTGCAGCGGCCGCTCTAAACTATTCACTGTCCAACTCACACAAGCAGCTGATACATATCCCCAGTTCCCCTTCAGTGAATGTGTGTCAGTCTGAATTGACGCTGTTTGGCATCACAACGCTGTTATGAAAGTTTCTCTGGTATAAAATGGGTGATGTTAGCATAGCAACCGAAGCTAAACTGACTACTTGCTATTGCTATCCTATTGTGGCATAAACCGTTTTCTACAGGCACATTTTACCGGTCTATTTTTATTATGATTCTACTTGTGATAGTCGGACACGACAACCTGTGCAGCCCATGTATTGATTCCATCCGATAGCTGCTATAATACAAAACAAAACGTCTGCCTCTCTCCACAATGATCAATAACAGTGAACGGATGGTTAAAGTAAGTTACAAATAAACAGAATCACACGAAGCCTGGTTAGTGTTGCCTGACTTTATAAAGTGTGTTTATAAGCACTAATGCTTGTAGGCAGGCATGACAGTCGACCCATGTTCAGGGGAGGAGGGTTTAGTTTCCTGCACGCCTCGACGTAAGCGACGCCACCTCTTAGCTCCGAAGCTCTTGCCTCTAGACCGACAATTGAGCTAAGAGGCGGCGCCGCTGCGGTGTGAACAGGAAAAACCGGCACTTTTCAGGCTCCAGCTCTGAGCCGGAGTTGAAAACGCGTTGGTGTGAAAGGGGCATAAGTTGGTCGAACGAATGCCTCCTCATCCGGAAGCTGACCGAGCAGACCCGAGCAGCAGTCGAGAGGAGCCTGCATCCGCGAAGCACACAAAATGGCGACGTCAGAGTTCCCGTTAGTCGGCAAATCTAAATCTCTTCGGTCAAAATAATTTCCCTTTAGAGCAATACCGCTTCAGTTGCGCCACTTATGTGACAGACAAGAAGAGTATGTGACAGACAAGAAGAGTATGTGACAGACAAGAAGAGTATGTGACAGACAAGAATAGTCAATTCTAATGTCTAACTCTTAATGTGGAGAAAGAGATGTCCTGTATGGGTTGATTGTGCGTTGATCTGTTGGTAATGCCTCGGGGTTCCGGTGGGCATGTAAACAAATGCATAATGCTGCGCTATACTTTGTGGCGTCACCCGGTTGCATAGCGACACTTATTGTTTAGGTGTCTTTTAATAAGCAGGTAGTCCTATCATTAGCTAGAACTAGCTGGATCTGATCGATATGGACATAAACGCGAGTGAAGTCTAATCTGACGGGAGAGAGAGATCAGCTGCTGCTGACAAGTCGACACGCAGCTCTGCATGATCACATGCAGCGGTGAGCGGAACAAAACACACACTTCAGGTTAGAATATCACACGTAGCTATTTTAATTACCTCTCAAACTACCGTAACTAGTTATAGATATGTTTAGTTTTACTGTCGGGTCACTCATTACTGATCCGCGAGCTGCATGATACTGGCATAATAGATTGCCCGATCGGGCACCCAGCAAGTGAGGCTTCATTGCCCGAGCTAAATACTAGATGGCCCCGGGCCATCGGGCAGTCCTTAATGTCGAGCCCTGATGTAATTGAAATTCTTCTACAGAAGAGAGAATAAATATCACTAAAAGATTTGATAGGCATATTATCCATATTTTTAAACTGTTTGAAGTTCGGTGTCCACACAGATCACCGATAACAACAGTACATATTATGTGCGAGTAAGTATATTTCTCTTTAATGTTTTTATTGAGTAGGATCTCCTTTACAGGGTATATGCAGGAATCCTGAAGTCAAATTTAATACATTTTAAGACCTTTTTTAAGACTCTTTCCATACATTTTAAGACCTCATCGCCACTTCGAATTCCAACAAGGTTACATTGGCGACACACTTTACCTCATATTTACTATATACTAGGGATGCACGATATTGGTGCGAGCGAGAGAGAGACCTTACGTGCATTGTTGTTGTTTGCATCTGGTGCTAGCTAGCTGCGCTAACGGATATACGGAGCTGTTTAAATGAAAACAGAGGAGCAACATTTCGCCACAACTGCGCCGAGCACTTGACTTTATGCAGGCAGCCAGACGGTGGGACATTGTACGAAAAGTCAGCACACTCAGCACGGATAGTGCGCAACATGATTGCAGCGTCCAGGCAGCTCCAGTTCGAGCATATGCCTTGAGTTGCACATAGCTCCAACGCCCATACCACCGACGACATGTTTGTTTACTGTCCTGGCTTCACGAGTTAGGGAGCGCTGGATTTGTGAAAAACTCCCCTCTTCCTAAACCACTAATACCACAGTACTGGCAAAACGGGAGGAGCCGAGTGAAAATACAAGCGCCCCTCATCCCAATCCACTCACACCGCAGTATTTTTTTCTTTTCCCCAAAAAATATATTGTATATTATCGGGGCTATTAATACTGGTATCGGGTTTATCGGGATGACGTCATAATTCCTAATATCGGACCGATAATTATCGTGCATCTCTACTATATACAGTATTGATTGTAAGATAGCACAACTAAACAGCTTGTGATACCTCCTTATAATAATTCAGATAGAACAAAGCACAAGAGAATGAATTGTGTGACCAACCCAATGCAAGGTTTGTTAGAAAAATAAACCATTAGAAAGTATTTGATTTAGGCATTGTTCCCAAGAGATGCAAACTTGCATTTCCCCATAACGATGTTGTGTAACAACCGGTGTAAACGGACCTTCGCGCTATCAAGCAGTGAGCGTGCGATGTCCTGTTCAGATGACGTCAAACCCAACGGGATGCCATAAATAAACTACACAGAATCACACTACACACCTACGCAATGATTACATTCAGGCACACTGTAGAATACAACCTCTTTGGACCATTTACATACTTATTGAAAACAAGCTACAACATTTAATACCTTGGAAAATGCCATTTAATACTTTTTAATAGCCTTAATTTTCGCTAAATTGATTTATCAACTTTTAATACTTTATAAGACCCTGCGGACACCCTGCTTTATTTATATAAAGAGATTTATATATTACATTTGTATTGTATCCCCGCTGTTGTTTCCTCTGTGCTGGAGGAGGGACATTGGGATGACCCATAAGACAAACAGTTTGTTGGTAGAAAAGGGTCTGGATACTCACATGGGGTCTCCAGCAGGGGCAGGAAAGTGACTGTGGCCGTTATCTGTCTCATCACCGAGCGGATCTCATCCTGAATGATCTTAATGGACTTCTCTCTGGGAGCACTGGGAAACACATAAGAACAACCAAGTTAACGAACATGCTATTATACTGTCATTGATGTGTGTCTATCACTACTTCCATCTAAAAACAGGGTAACACATATAGATTCATTTTAAAACCAGCCTTTTATTTTCCCTACAACAGCTGGCCATGTAAGTTTTAAATCAAAGACAAGAAAACAGGACAATGTATTTTGGGATTTAGTCAAGATGAACTAGTGTGTGTTCATCTTAATAAAGAAACATTGATGTGTTTTAATGGTTTTTGTTGTCTGAAAACTAACTATTGTTATTTTTATAGTTCTCTGGACAACCAAAATATTAAAAGCTAAAAAGGTAAATCAGATTTTGGATACACACACCTAATATGTTCAGTAGGTACACCCATCAGTGTACAAAAAAAGATCAGACTTTGACGTGTTCTCTGACTGCCACCCACTGGACTTTAAGTGCACAACACATTTTACCATTGGATATGACAATTCTATCAAACTTAAATCCTTTGTTATCACCTACACAACAGATTAAAATGTGTGAAAGAATTCCGCTGAATAGACATCACTAATTCAGGGTTTTGAGGACAGTATTCTGACCTGCTCTCTTTGGCTGATTTGTCACAGTCGATGTCAAACTGCCATCTCTCCAGCACCTCGTTGGTTTCCAGACATGTGATCACCAACACAAACTTCTGCACTGTGCACTCAAACAGCCACTCTGCAAAAGAGACACAAACATTTACTTACACTGCATGGATAGCCTGAAAATAATCCTATACCAAAATGCTATTTATGACAGTACACAATAGATATTAAAAACAGTGGACATAAGCATAGATTCTCTAAGTCAACTTGGAATGACTCAGGGACTGAGAGCTTAATTTACATACGTCTGCTTCCTGTTCTGTTAACATTGTTTTACATATTTGTAGTGTGACACAAGATTGTTTTTATTTTAACTTGTTCTGAAAATATTATTTCCAAAGCAGCTTGAGTGCTTAGATAAATGCAGCAGAATGGCAAGTTGAACATGTGCTTTAAAATATCAGATGTAAGAATAGTCAAGTACAGCTAAAACATTTATTTGACTGATACATTCTTCAACAGAAAATGATTCACAGCTGTTTGGATGAGAATGTGTTGCTATTTCTCATCTTCAATTCTAGTTACCTTCAAATATTTGGGTTAGGCTAGACCAGGGGTTTTCAAAGTGTGAGAAGGTGAGCCTCCCCTCAGAGAACACAAGAACAGCGGCACCCCCCCCCCTCCCAATTATTATTGCTATTATTATTGTTGCTATAATGCAGGGCTATTCAATTGCATTTCAAAGAGGTCCAGAAAGCAGTGTTTCCACCAGACCAGGGCTGAGAGGGCATCCACCCGAGAGAGAGTCACGTGACTTGAATTTTAATTGAGCCGTCCCTTATAGTAGATAATATCTCTTTACGTTATTGATGGGAATTACGGCTCTTTTTAGTGAGCCGGATCATTTGGCTCGGCTCACTAACAAGAAGAGCCGGCTCTTTTGACCACGGAGCCTCAGTTTCGCCGCTGCGAGGCTCCGGCGCTTGCAGTTCACGCGCATACTCCACCGCTCATCGCGTCCAAATCGTGCACGTTCCGTGTTGTCCTGTGGCAGGCACCGTGGGTTCAATACTCCAAAAAGAATCCCAATAGGCTCCTTTGCCCCTCCAACGGAGGGATGTCCTTGCCCTTTTTCCTTTTCGTTATTTCAAGCGATCTTTTTTTTTTTGGACGGCCTCGGCTCGAGTTCAGGCCGTTCCGAGCTGAATAAGGCCGTCAAATGACGGCAAGAAACACTACCAGTGAGAGAAAATGTCATTAAATGCTCTGTTTTCGCTGTCTACCTTTCTCTTTTTTGAGCACGCCATTTGAAATGACTCCGAAAGTTTCTCTCTTCTTGTGTCGTCTCTGTTTGAATCTATCGAGCTGACTGACTGACTGACTTTTAACATTTTCAACATCGTGGATAAATCCTTATATGCTCCCGGCAACACACTGAACGTCAACTTTGCCTCCTTATTTCACTCAGCCCTACTTTAGTGGGAACAATGAGTCTGCGTCTTTGATGCGCACAGGCGGATGATGTGGGGATGCAATGTAGACAGGAAGCAACGCAGATCATCCTCTGGCTGCAGCCTTGACCGGTACTTGCTTTTGATCAAAGTCAATGCGGAAAACCCGCACTCACACAGGTAGGTGGAGGAGGCAGGGGCGGACTAAAAATCAGCCCTGGAATCTCACCGAGCTCAGCCCACACAAATTGGTAGAGCACGCTAGTGAACTGTCAATGGGGGGGAGCCTCACTGCGTGGAAACGGCCCGCTAAACGGACCTCTGTCGTTGCCATTTAAAAACATAAAAAATAAAGGGGGGTGCCGGCCGTCAGCGAATCGCTGACGACCGGCCGTTCTGTGATTCTCCAGAACACACAGATGGCCAGTCCGCCCCTGGGTGGAGGTGAAGGGAATGAGCACTTTTATAGCCTTTTTGGCGAGGTGGGGGAACTTGGTCTCCACAGACAGCCACAGGTGTGCATAGGGATGGGCAGAGTTCCCGTTAGCCGGTGATTACCGGACTATGACCGGTAAAATATGCTGAAGACCGGCAAATCTAAATCTCTCCGGTCAAAGTGTCCGGTCACTTGTCCGCATCAGTTGCGCCACTTATGTGACAGACAAGAAGAGTCAATTCTAATGTCTAACAGTTAATGTGGAGAAAGAGATGTCCTGATTGTGCGTTGATCTGTTGGTAATGCCTCGGGGTTACGGTGGGCATGTAAACAAATGCATAATGCTGCGCTATACTTTGTGGCCTCACCCGGTTGCATAGCGACACTTATTGTTTAGGTGTCTTTTAATAAGCAGGTATCATTAGCTAGAACTAGCTGGATCTGATCGATATGGACATAAACGCGAGTGAAGTCTAATCTGACGGGAGAGAGAGATCAGCTGGAGTCGACACGCAGCTCTGCATGATCACATGCAGCGGTGAGCGGACAAAACACACACCAGGTTAGAATATCACACGTAGCTATTTTAATGACCTCTCAAACTACCTAAACTAGTTATAGATATTGTTGTGGAAATAATTATCATAAGACGCCAATTAGTAACATACAGGACAAACCTCGATGTCTGTTTACCTTCTTTAAGGACACAGGCGGCTTAGCCAATAATGTTATTGTTCCCATTCTGTGACCGGTCAATACTGGGATACAGATGGTCTGTGTTGTGGGTACACTGGGACACTTCCTTCTCTGTATTTGTGGACTCCAAGGTAAAATCTTCGAGGTCATAAGTATCCGAGGCAAGTAGCTCTGTGTTCCCACACTGTTTAGGCTATCTTCTCAAATATGTTGTTTACTCTCTGCGAAACCAGTTAGATGGGCTGGCAAGAGAGAGGCTCTCCAGAATTGACGTGGCAACTCTACCGTGAAGTCAGAACCTCTGACTCTTGGACTTGTGATGTGAATCCTCCGGCCGTTAACTCCAAATAAACCATCATGTGTTTGACATCAAAGCTACTGCTCTTCCCGTGTCTCCTTCCTGAGTCGGTGACTCCCACTGCATAGCTACACAGAAGTTTCCTCTACAAATATGTTTAGTTTTACTGTCGGGTCACTCATTACTGGATCAGCGAGCTGCATGAGACGGATATTGACGGGCTGTCAGGAGAGGGAGAGAGCGCTCCGTTTATTATTCTCGTGTTATTGTAAGTTACTGAACACTTTTGAAAAATGTAGTTAATCTACTATAATTAGTTTGTTTAAAGGAGGGGTAGGTAAGTTTGAGAAACCAGCTCGAGATCGCTAGAATTTGAAAATACACAACCGGAGAAAATCTGCCACTTCCTTATAGAGCCCCTCCTCCAATACACACGAACGCGCACGTGACCAATGAGGGCACGAGATAAGTATGTGCCCCGATGGGAGGCTGACAGGCAGGTAGGCCATCCAATCCGTTGGATTGGTTGTACTTTTTACAGTATTATGGCTTCTACAGATGAAATTTTTTCATGGATTTTTTGTCAAAGCACTTCAGATATTCATTGCTATCGGGATGTTAAGAGCATTCCATGGAATATAACAAAAAGTGTATCTCACGCCGGTTTCTCAAACGTACCTACTGCTCCTTTAATATCGAATCATATCAATTTGTTTTAAAGCTCAATAAATAACAAAGAAGACCTTTGACCGGCACTTTTCAAATTTTGTCTGGAAGATTTAAACTTTAACGGACGTGTTGACTGGCGAAAAAATATTCTAACGGGAACTCTGGGGATGGGTATCGTTAAGGTTTTAACGGTACTACTACTTTTATCGATACCGCTTATCGATCCCGTCTTTTAACAGTACTTTTATCGGTTCTTTTGGAGAAAATAATAAGGTAAATTAACTAAACAAATTGTGAACAAAACTAACATTGCTTTTATTTAAATGAAATACATAATATTTCACATCAAAAGAAACAACAACGTTTTAACATCGTATTAAATAATCTGATGACAAAGTTTCAGCTATTCTGTTTACAATTCTAACAAAATAAATAACTCAGTTTCCTCTAATCATTAACCCATGTTTGTATAATTGAGTTAACTCCGTGTGTTGCTGCTAGCATACATAATACCTGACGTGGAAACGTTACTCGTGGATGGGGCTACAGAGCTACTAGAAAGACAGTCGAACCCGGTGCATTCCTCCGTCTGAATGTGGAGCACTTTTGATAAGATGTTTAGACAAATTGCTCGTGTTACCGCCCTTACATGCTAAACTCTTATTGCACTTTTGGCAACGAGTATTGTCCACATCGAGACGGGTAAAGTTTAACCACACCTCGGAGCGTGTTCTCTCCGCCATCTCTGCATGTAGCAGCTGCGTGTGTAAACTGCCCCGCCCCCTCGCAAGCAGGTGGGGGAGAGAGATCTCCCGTCTGGATTGCATATTAGAAACGGAGTTGGCGACACTAAAACTGCAATATAATGTTTGTGTAGCAATAATACATGTATGTACCGATAAAAAGACAGATAACGTTGGAGCTTAATGGTACCACGGTCTTTAATAATTCAGCCCCGGGGCCCGTTTAATACCGGGTCTCGGTACCCATCCCATGGTGTGTAAGTGACACTTTACTCGCCATTTTCTCACGCTGCGCCTCCCCTGAAGTTCACACTTTGAGTGATTAATAAAACAAAGCAACGCTTCGGCCATATGGTGAACCACGATGATCCATAAAAGCCTTAATGCAAATGAAAGTTCAGGGTTCACTTGTCCCAGTGTTATGACACCACCTATAGTGGAAATCCCCTGGGAAATCCAGGCGGTGAAATCCTAAATGCGAGTCATTAAAGGGCTATAGAAAGCATCCGCTGAGCTACCTTTCAGTTGAGACACCACTTTGGTCAGGTAGTTCTTCAGTTTGGGATCAGTGGTCAGCTGAAGGTTCATGTCATAGTGGGTGATCCTGCTGAATGTCTCTGGAGGATAAATGCCCCTCTGGTACAGGATGCTGTTGATGCCAAATGCTGTGGGGGAGAGACAATCAAAATGTCATCGTACGTTATATTGTTCCTCATTTAGAGGTGTGGGCTGATCTAGCTTTGCTCACATGTAAGCTCCCTGGTGCCAATAACAAAAAAAGCAATTCATATTCTGGGAAAATACAGTAATGACAAAAGTAAGACAAATATGAAAACTATAGCTATTTGATATTTTAAATGATATTTTAAATGTTTCTATAACAGTATTCCCATTTTGTGTAAGGACACGTTCATGTTTTTAGCATTTTGGCATGGACTATTTGAAATGTCATATGTGGGAAAGAAAATGTCCTCCAATTCTAGAATGGCCTTGTAACGTTAGAAATGCTGCCATACTGAAAAGCAAAATATACTTAGCGACCATCGTTCATTTCCAGAAACGTTAGAGATCTAATGACTTCGGCACAACGTACATAACAAAACAAAAAAGTAGTTATTCTAATTTGATCTGTTAAAGTATTTGATCCTAAAGTATAGTACAACAAAATACAAATCGAGTTTGGTTGATTGTTGCGTGCTCAAATATAAAGTAAAGCGTAATCTACCAACACATTTCAGATAATGGAGCAATGCTGAGCTTTCCAAACTAACAATACACAGGCCTGTTAGCACATTAGCACTGCATGTATGTCGAGAGCGCTCGAAGCGAGCTAAAAACAACGTTTTTAAATAAATACTTACAGAAGAAATTTGCCACAAGCTCGGCGCTTCCCTTCAGAGTAATTCCGTTCAACGTGCTCGTCATTTTCTTACTCGTTTTGAATATTCTGGACAATTAACCGTTGTTGTTTTTAATCGGTCTGAGTTTAAACTAACCGCCGTTCAGTTTGAAATGTGTTGGCTCAGTACGCTTGCGCATGCGCGGGAGATTGCGGGTCATAGTTGATCACGTGTCAAAAAACGCATACATGTTTCTAGCACCGGAGGGCAGCAGTTCCTAATAATAGGCTACCTATGCTCTGTTTTCTGAAATGTGGATTTCAATTTTATGTTTTCTAGCTATATCATTATCATGACATCTGTAATTAACTGTAAATGTAAATATTACATTTAGATGTAAGCTAAATACTAATATGTAGGTTTAAATAAGCAGAAGTATTACTTGGCCTTTCCTTCGGACAGTTTATGTTACCTTTTTCCAATTCAAAGTAACACATTTGTGTCGCCCATGGGTTTCTCAAAGCAAGCCTACATTATCTGTAATTTCTCCATATTTTGTCTCAATCTTTAGCAAACCCAATGCAAGTCTTTGTGTCCACTTATTAATTTAATTGGATGAGTTATATGATGACTATTAGTCATTTATTTCAGGAAACTTGGAATCCTGTCTTGACAAGACAATGACCGTCTTGAGGTTGTTGTGGAGGGTCTTGTTTTTGTTTTACTGAAAGCTGATTCAAGACACAACAAAAATACTAAACAACATGAGGTGAAATGGAATTGGTTTTGATCTTGTCATACTAACTCATTTACTTTATCTTCTTCTTTGAAAGCATGGATTTTATAAAAACACTGGAATGCCAGGAAAATGTCCACAGATAAAGGTTGGTACTTTAGTGAGAAGTACGAAGCTGTGATCCGAAGCGAGAAAAAAAAGAAGTATAAACAGGGTCCTCTGTAGAAAAGCTTTCACAAGGACATCAGTGACAGAGCTTGGAACCGAAAGGACATATTTTAAAAAGAGCTCCCTGAGTAGCCTACTTAGTGCCACAAGGAGGAGCTCTCAGGTAGGGAACGCTTTAACACAGCCTCTCAGAAAAGTTGGTTTACTTCCAAAAAGGAGGAACATCCTGTGACAGAAAGCTGAGGACTCACTGGAGAAAATAAGTTTACTGCATTCCGGTCTGAATGGAGGATAACTAAAGAAGGGATCAAGGGAGAGCACTCGGGTTCAGGTTTTTTGAAGGCCTTCTCGAAGAAAAAGAGTTTCTGAACTATGCTAAGATGGTTAAATGTAGCTACAAAACATAATAATAACCAGCTGAAGAAGTCAGGCAAACTGTTATCCCTTCAGCAGTGGAAGTTAGTTTCCGGTCTTTTTTATTTTAGCCCAGCCTACAGCTTTGACAGCTAAATGTTGGAACACTGACTTTAATCCCAGTGAGAAACACAACTGGTGTTGCGTTAACAAGTAGCTGCTGGTCTTAACCAACGGTTAACCAATGGTTTTATACAGTGCTTGAATTGGAATGAAAAAGGTGCCAGTACTCTAAAATCAGCAACTTTTTCAAGTCAATTTTATATATACAGCCCACAAACAAGAATTTGGCTACTATAATGCTGGTGGGTTTGTCTCTTTACTACTGTATATTTTAGAAAGGTTCACTGTACTTAACATTTTGTATGATAGGCAGCGGATATGGCTAAAGCTCAGTAAGGTCAATATTAACTGAAAATATAGCAATCAAAGTCTAGATCTTCTGCTGAAGACACATGAAGCAGAGACCTTTCAGGTGAGAGCCCCTCTGGTGGTGTTCAACATTAATGACAAGGAAACAAAGCTCTGGTCAGAAGCATTTTTTATAAAAAGCTTTAACAAAATTAAGTATTTCTGTACATTTGAATGCAATCTAACTTTCCAACTCAGAAAACGAAAAAAGTGCCAAAAGTCTTCTCACATGGCTGAGCTGCTTTGCAATATACTTCACCACTGAAGAATACAAATATGTATAAAGTAAACTATGATGCAATCTAACTTTCCAACTCAGAAAAATGATAAAGAGCATGAACAAAGAACATGTCAAAACAAATGCAAAATTTGCACAATCTAAAATGAGAAACTGTAACTGCAAGTAACAAAGTCTGAGCCATGGTAAAGAGTTACATTGAACACCAAGCTGATCAGATAACTCCCTGGTTGGTCTGAAGTCCTTCTATCTCCAGGATCTGTACAAATCGGCACATTATGCCAAAAGTCTTCTCACTGGGTGAGCTGCTTTGCAATATACTTCACATTGTTAGAAAAGGCTCCAGAAGGCCTTGGGGACATCAGTATCAGGGGCTGGAGCTGGACAGGCTCTTTCATCAGCACTTCTCCTTCCCTTTGCCAGCCAGGACCTCACATACTGTTCCGGATTGAACTGTCCTAGTGATGGTCCATTACATTTAATGAAAACCAGGCTGGACAGTCGGCTGACAGAGAGAGCATTCCTTTTTGCAGTAAGGATATCGTTCATGCAGCTGAATGCCCGCTCACACTCACTAGTGGAGACAGCGATGGTTCGGACTGCTTTCAGTAGAGGCTCCATGGCAGCAGGTGTACGGGATGCCCTGGTTTCCTTGTATTCGCGAAAGCCCTGAACAGTCTCTCTTCTGTCCACTTTCAGCACTTCGCACAAACGTAGCACCTCTACGTCCCCATACTGTACGTCTAACTCCTCTTCAGGCCAACTTCCAGGATGGATAACTTTCATGTCCTGGATTAGCTGATTGTCCCGGGCCTCCCGGCCATGTAATGGGATTTCTCTTGTGCTGACATGAGAGGAGGTTGTGGAAGTCATTCTGTGTCTCAGATTCTCTACCATACTGCAGAAAAACTGACCTGCATGAATCTGTACAAGCCTGCCATTCTCACGCAGGGCAACACCCTTGAAGGACTTCTCAGCTAGAGCTGTATGAACTGTAGTCATGTGTGGGCCAGGCATGGTGACCATGGATTCAAAAACTCGTATTTCTCGAGTTAAGAGCCTATCTGCTGTAGGCAGTGTCATCTCTCTTTTTTGGAGTTGCCGAGAGAGGTCGCTGAGCTCTGTGAGCGCATCGTACATCAGTCCCAGATTGCTGACAAACGTTGCAGATGTGAGCACATCATCCAGGCCCTTGTACTTTGCTCTGTCTCTGGAATCCCTGCTCGTGTCGTTTGCAGCATTTGTGAAGTGATCATGAAGCACTCGGTAGTTTTCCCAGACTGCTCTGACGCTCCTTTCACTTGAAGCCACCCAGCGGATGGACAAAACACGCCCTATCACCAGGAGACGCTGTCCGACTGCTTGCGCACACTGCGCTAACTGCCTCTGATTTTTGGGGGAGGCATGGAACAAGGAATAGAGTTTGTCAAAAAAGATCTGGAAATGATTGAGCCCTGAGACCTCCTTGACCACATCCCCAACTGCCAGCTCTAGACGATGATTGGAGCAGTGCCACACAACAGGCTTGGGAATTTACTACACAACTGGGTAGCAACGCCTGTTCTCTTCCCTAGCATGACTGAAGCCCCATCACATGCAAAAGAAACGAAACACTGACCTAAAAAGTCCTCGTTAAAATCTCTTCCAAGACACTCCATTAACGCCTTTGTGATGTCATCAGCCGTTGTTCCATCCAACTCGATCAGCTCCCAAAAAAACGTTTCGGGCTCAGCATCAGCTAATGCTGAGTGTAGACACACAACAAGCACCGTTTTACCACTAATAGTGGTAGATTCATCGACCAAAACACAGAGTTTTCTTTGGTTTTCTGTAATGTCTTTTGCCATTTTTTTCTTCAGCTCATGAGCTATGTGGTCGATGATTTCGCCACAGGTTTTATTGGAGTGCAAAACCCTGCCCACGTTCAGCCCATTCAGTTTCTGTACATTCAAATCAATTGGCATGTCTGTGAATGGCCGGCTATGTTTGCCAATTTTATATGCCGTTCGAAAAACTCTGATAGTGGTGTCTAATTCAGATTTATGCATAGACTGCACTTGATGTTGAATAGTTTCACGTGAAGCAGATGTAAGGATGTCAGCAGCTTTTACATGGGCTTGTGATTCTTTATGTTCTTTGATTTTTTTCTCAGGCTAGCTTGTTGTTTGCCCTTGTCAACACCGAAATGAGACACTGCACACTCACCCCATTCAGTTGACAGTTTCAGTCCTTGTCCAGTGTGTATTCCCAAAGATTTGACATCTCTGCATATCCGACATCCTAGCTTCTTATCTTTAAGAAGGAGCCATGCATTGGTCTTGCAAAAATATTGCACCTGGTCCGTTGTCCAGCAGTCAGGTGCATCGCTTTGCCAGGTGTTGGTGGTGGCAGTTGCGCCAGCAGCAGCTAACGTTAGAGGCTCTGGAGGAGGCGGCGGAGCTAGTGCTAATGCTAATGCACTAGAACTTGGAGCAGGAGGATCAACCAAAGAAAGCTCCCCATCAGACACAATTTCCAACACAGGCACAGCATTCTCTGTATTTGAAGTTTCTTCCGGCGACAACCGCTGTCTTTTTGCACTTTTTTATTAATCCACGCTAACATTTTAGAAATGCTAATTTGTGACGTGACTTGCTTTCCTTCTCTCGGGGGGGTGCTGCTCTGTTCTATCACTCTACATAGCCACCCACTGGGTGGGAGTTGCACTGCATAAACACAACACACGTGCATCTAGGTATGTAAATTGTAAAGCATTAAAACATAGTTTTACTAACAGTTTTCAGTATGTTGTTACTTCGGCATTATTATTATTATTATTATTATTATTTTGAAACGTGTATTACTATTAAATCACGGTCAAATAGGTTAATTTTGACATAGTCGTTTCCACCACAGTATTTACATGGAGAAGATAAGCCCCCCCCCTCTCCAGCACGTTCTGTTTGAATGACAGGAGTAAACAGCTGACAGCCGCTGTGAAACTCCAGCGGTTAGAGCGATGAGAATGTCCGTTCGGCACCTCATGACGCATCTACTGAGTACCGGGCGCCTGTATATATATATATATATATATGGATGTATAATAAGAACGGCGGGAGAGTGTTGAGTACTGGCACGGTGCATGAGTACCGGCACGGTGCATGAGTACCGGAGTACCGCCAGCATGCCGGTACTGAGCAAGAAGTGCCGGTACTCCATGGGTCAGAACCAGAAGTGCCGGTACTG